TAATAATAAATGAAAATTTCCTGGTTGTATTTATATCAGAGTGCACACGTATTTTTTTAAATTTGATTTGATTTAACTTAATTTACATCGATTTATATTTTCCTGATTTGATTTAATTTAATTTATATCGATTTATATTTTCCTGATTTAAGGTTAATTTCGTTATATCTGTATAGATTTGTCAGTTCAGAAATAAGCTTTTACTTTTACTTGTCTCATTACGCAAACTCTGATGAAAATGCATTGAAATCTGCCTTTATTATTTTTTTTTGCACTTTTCAATTTGGGTAACGTTTGACGATTTTTTTAAATACAGCTCTGGTTTGTCTGAGGATTTTGAAGAGGTCTCATTTAGTAATTATTTTTACATTAGCTTTTGTATTTTCAAAGAAATATTTTTGCTCCATTTCATTGCTGCAGTAGTCAATATGATTTTGAATTCAATAAATATTTCCGCTGAATTATTGCAGACTGCATTGCATGTTAAAGTTTTGATTTTGAGCTTAATTTTTGTTTGCTGTTGTTGTTTTGACTAATCTCGCTCGCCTGATGTCAGAGCAAGCCCACGAAATTCATCATGATAAGGAGGCAAGATTGCGCCTGTCATTGGCAAGAGTCTTCGGCACTATACAGGTAACAGTACGTATTTGCTCATTTCCGCCTCCAGTTTTGAAAGAAAGCACCGCGGGGAGACGAGTCGTCTTCCCCTACCACCAAACCACACGAGAGGACTATCGGCTCGCCGCATATTTTGATTGCTCCTATGCTGTAGAGACACCATATATTTACCAACATCCATATCTTCTCCGAGGTTCTCCTTCGGTACACTAACCACTGTTCCGGTTCTCATTTGTTAAAATTATTATTGCGTTACAGTAAATATGTATTTAGCTTTCTGAAAAAAAAAAAAAAAAAAACCTAGTTTCAGATTTTTTGAATATTAGGCTGGAGTTCCATTTAGCCCAGTTAGTTAATCTGCTACTATATACAGTGTTTGGATTTAAGTTCGTGCATTTCACTCATCCTAATCCTCGTTTGGGTAAAAACACCGGAAAATCCCGAAATTTCGTTCCCAAATTCTTAGCACAGCCCAACAGTCCCCCTTTTTTTGAAATCAAAATCCTTAGAACCCTATTCCGTTACACACATACCCCCAACCTTATTCTTATATCCAAAATTCTTCTCTTGCAAATACCGGCTCGGATTTTTCCCATATAAGGGCAACGTGTCACCGTGTTCGAATTGCATATATTAGAAAGCATTCGACACCCTCTTCATGGTGAAATGTTCTCTAAAACCCTATGCACGCTCGCGTATTCATATTTTTGTTGCCCTTTATCTAACAATATTTTGCGCCATTTTCGTGCGTATTTATTACCCGATTCTTTTTCAATTTTTTTGCTACCATTTTCTGGGGTGACTTTTAACGGTGAGTGTGGTGTTTCACCCTTTCTTTTTTCTTTTTTCTTCTTCCCTTTCGAGACACCTCTAGCTTTTTAGAGGAGATTTTGGTGTTTTCGTTGGCCTAAAAACATTTCCCCCCTATTGTTTCTTTCTTTGTTTTCTTAAACGCGTTTTCGTTTCAAGCTGCGTGCAAAGTGTCGCGTAGAGTGTTAACACTTCTCCAAGTTTTTGCGATTTTTGATATTTATTACGCACTTTTCACGAATTTGTTTCCGAAAGCTGCGAGCATGTATTATGTATATTGTTTTTAAGGGTCGATGCCTAGTGATAGGTTTTCAATATAAAGTGGTATTTTGCTATCCCCTTTTTCCCCTTAGCACTGCTTTCCTGGTGCTGGAAATATGGAAGTTTGTCTGCTTTTATTGGCTATATCTTCTCCTGTGTCAGGACGCATGCAAAACGTGCATGGCATCCTTTTAGCTCTATTTTGTGGATACATAAGTGTAGATAAGATCTGCCTTGTAAACTGTCATAAATGCGCATTAAATTTTACAATAAATCAGTGTTTTTATATTCAGGGAAGTCCTCCGGGAAAGAAGAAAACAATGCCAAGGGCTGATACTGACTGAGAAAAAAAACCTTCGTGAAGAAGACGACTGTCAAAATAGCATAAATGTGAAGAGTAAAGGAAAAAAAAAAAAAAAAAGATTAAATAAAGAAGAAAGAGCGGAAAGCAAACAGTAAAAGAAAACTTCAACTCAAAAGAAATTAAGTGCGAATAATCAGAGTAGGTAAAATGCATGGTATTTTGTAAGAATAGCAAATAATATGCAATATAGATATTTCTCGACTAACGGCAACTTTGAGCTGCTACATCCATCAAGCCAAAGAAGTATCTGATATATGTAATTCATCTCACCAAATATTTTTATTATTTTCCTTAAAATACAGGCTGATATGGAAATTACCTTATTTACTACAGTGGCGTACATTCAAAAAATTTCTGGAGCAGTCTTTTTACAATGTCCTATTGTTGCAACGAATGTTGAATAGCTTGGTAAACTATGGTTCCCTGCCATAGACTCTTAGCAGTCATTTTTAAAGCAGATACAAGCCAGATATCAAAGTGTCATCTTAAAATATATGCCATTACGTTAAATAAGCATCTTGACATGAATGCTGAATTTAAGGAACATTTGCAAGAAAACTGCGAAGCACATGGTTCGTCGGACAGAACTATAACTATGACAATATTGTTGAGTGGGAAATGTATGAAAAATCTCTTCTTACTTTCTTGTACAAAGAAAAGGAAGTATTGTAATCGCGAAAAATTTCGGGTATCATATTTCAACGAAAATATCGATTTTGACCGTTATCCAATGCAATTTAACGATGTTTGTGCGTAACATCTTTACGTAAAGACAGTATAAAGGAATATTTCCCCCCCAAAAAAAAATATAAAACTGATTTAAAATGAATTCGGAAAAGATTTTTTTCGTGGCGTCTGTAAATACGTATCTCGTATAACTCAAAAACGAGTAGCCTCAGATCGTTGAAATTTTGTATGTAGGACTGCTATAACATGTAGGTGTGCGCCTCGTATTTTGATTGCAATCGGCCTCACCAGAAGAATATAAGTATATTTATATATATATCCACTCTGTTACTCGGCTCAGTGAGCTCAGTTTCTTAATTCTTATATGTTGGTAAATTGTGCAATTTTTTGCTTTAAAAATGATTGAATTATGTTGTTATTATCTTCCGGTTAAGGTTTTTATGCCTTTAGTAAATCTGCATGCAATATTTGTGAAGTTATCAACAATTTAAATGTTGTTTAAGTGCAGCTAAGCCTAATGTATTTTGCGGATGGCGGACATGTTTGCTTACATTTAAAACTTGGCAAAATAGCGGATTTGTTGCCAATCTAAAGAAACTAAGCTTCGCAACGACAAAGATAACGCCTTCTTATATTATTGCGAATTAAATCATGCTTAATCCATTGTGGAATTTATTCGAGGAAATAAGTTTTGAGATTTACTTCGTTATTTTTAATATAGATATTTTGAGTTTTTATGTATTTTTGCCTTGTCGGAAATTGAGAACTGAATTAATTGAATGAGAAATACTGAATCGTATGTGAAAAACGTTTTTTTTGTTGTTTGTTTGTTTGTTTGTTTGTTTTGTTTGCTTAATTTCTTTTATACATCGTTTTAGATTTGTTATAGTATTTGAATAGAAAATGTGGCAACGATTAGATAATTCTTCAAATGATACAAATTTAGGTACTTTTCCGTTTTGTCGGCGCAAGCGGTAAAGTCGCCAATAATGGTATAACTGATGCCAAACGGAATATCCTCGTTGGTAACCTTTTACGCCTCATTTTCAAAACAAGTCACAACCATTTCTTATCAGATTGATTGGTTCTTTGAATACTGGCATACAATTACATAAAATATTTACCAAATAGTACAATTTTATGCCCAAAGCCATTCGCGGTAATTAAGTCAATTAGAATGCTATCACACCGCTCACCCGAAGGCGAAAATATAGAAAAGGCAAAATCAAGGGTTAAATTCATCATTTCTAATGAGAATACACTAGCGAAGTAAAGTGCTGTGGTTTTACATAATTTCTGAGAAAGCTATTGGTACGAATTGAAATAATTCTTGCATTTAAACTTGTATTGCAAATTAAGATTTAACTTGAAATTAATGTAGATAATTACCGAGAGAATTAGATTTTTGTAGCGTAGTTTACATGAGATGAGATCACTTGGGGTCACGTGATATGTACCGAAGAATCAGCTTGTTGAACCATGAAAGCATAATAAATTCTTAAATTAACGTCTTTTTACAAATTTATTGTCTTTATTTATTGGCTTTTTACAAAATTTTAAACGATAATAAAACGTTTATGCCTTCAAAATAAAAAAATTCTTAGAACTAAGATTTGTTAACATTTTTTATGTGTATACTGTATGTTGTCGCCAGTAAAATCTGCTTGGCGAGATTTGCGCCGGCGAAGCGGAAAAGTACCCAAATTTATATGTATTCTGAGTTATAATATGAACGAAATATAATACTGTTAAGTGAGCCTAGCACCAGCGTGTCGCTATGGTAAACAAATAGAGTGAATTTATTCTGTTGTGCTTTATGCGCTATCGACGATGTAGATTTAATTCAATCCAATAAGTTTTAATGAAATGCAAGAAAAAATGCGTATAATTTAATAATATGCCGTGCAAGGAAGTCATGTGGTGTACATATCAGATTTTTTTCCTCTAGCAAAGCAGTAGTTTTGGTAAATTCCGTTGGAATTTGCTTTATGGAACTGTTAAATAGTCTTCGCGAAATCAAGATTTTTGAGTATCATTTCTCTTACCGAAATTATGTTGTCAGTTCTCGTACATAAATAAATTTCCATCAGTCGATGCCTGATTAGTTTACGTCTTATAAGTTTATTTGCGCCTTTTGCAGTGATTTTGTTTGGATAAATGAGCTTCCGGTTCTGTAACATCTCACAGTTATCTCGTATCTTATGTGCTTTTGTATATTTGCTATGTTTGTGTATCTGAAATATCTGTTTGTTCTGGCAAGATAGCAGCCTAGCGACGAAATGCCGAGGAAGCCGATGTTGTAATGAAAACAGAACACTTCATGTGAAGGAACCTTAGAAAAGATTGTAGAAAACTGGAAATATGTTGTAAGTACAAAACACGTATTTAAATTTGACTTTCATAATTAATAAAATTCAAGAGTTCGACAATTGGCAATTGTAGAATAACTGTAATAGCAATTGTAGAATTGGTTCTGAAAAGAGACCGCGCTGGTTGGTCTCGTTGCATAATGAAAGTTTTCATTTGAATTCCACGCCAAATAGAAGCTGAGTAGCAATAGTTAGTAAAGAATGAAAAAATATTTACGACATATCAGAAAGACGGTGGTTTATTGAAATAAGGAAAAGATATTAGATGGACGTTTATTATCAAGGAGATAATGGCTGTTTTATATTTCGGGATGCAAAGGCAATTTAAGTATAATTGTTGACCACACTGACTTGTTTCTTGCTGGTAATTTTGTGTGAACCTTATAAATTCCAGCGGGGTAGTTTTTTGAGATTTAGTTTTTATCGAACGCTTATTATCAATAATCGATAAGATCCGCGAAATATATATATATATAATTTGTCAAGGCTTTCAACATGTTTTTGGATAAAAAAGAAAGAAGCATCTTGAAGCTGGATTGCAATAATACTTAGCCCGAATAATCGCAACCACCAGGAAAAAATATTTTGTAATCTTGCCCAACAACAACAAAAAAGTAAGTAAATAAAATCTTTGCATTATCAGTGATGTCTCACCAGGTGTTATAATAGATCTTGCCCTAGTGAGAACAATGAAGCCATATCCTGTCTGCTGTAGATGAAACGAATGAAGAAGTTAGTCCTGTAATTTAGAGGTGTGTGTATGTGTGTGTGTATTGAGAATACGGCAAAGTACTCTAGGGCTATCTGCCTAAGGGGAGGGATGCCTTTCGTGGAGGACTTTCTAAGGGAAACTGGCTCGTATACACGTTACACATGGGGAAAACCACGAAAACGCCCATGCAGCCAGCCCGTTCGCGGGATTCGAATCTCGGACCGAACTACCAGTGTTCAGCGATTTTACCGCTCGGCCGCTGGTGGGCTGTAATTTAGAGGAAAGATTTTATTTATTTCTTATTTGTCGTTGTTGTGACGAGGCTCACTTGTCTGGTAGTAACATCAGATCAAGTTCTCAAATTTTATAGTGAGGCAAGGAGCACAGGATTGCGTCTGTCAGTGGTATAAGCGATGAGCATTTCACAAGTAACAGAACAACTGTTACTGAACAACTGAACAACTTCCCGGGTTCTGTATCATGCTGCAAACACACTATAAAATCTATACAACAAAATAAAAACACGCTTACAAATATTCAAGCCTTCTGCGGTAATCGGGCTCGGACCCAATGGACGAAACAGCAATCAGCAAAGCCAACCGCCATACCCATCAAGATGGCATCTCTTATTTAGGCAGTGGAATTAACTAAGGCCACATTTATCAGGCTAAGACAGGAGCTTTGAAAAATTTCATACAGTGTCCTCTGAGCAGCAATAAATAGATTTTGACTATTTGTGATAAAATGTATGAAAAAAATGTGTCCGTGTTGTATATAAGATGCTGAATATAATTCCTTAAGTCCTTTCACATTATCATTCGCGTGTAGCTGAAATAACCAGATTTAACCTATGCAGAAATTTACAGCATTATTTTTCTTATTGTTATTATTATGATTATTGTTCTTGTTATTATTATATATACGTAAGATGCAAAGCAACATCTCCATTTGCTTTTTCCAGAATATCTTTTCTTTGCTTGTGTTTTCTTGAGAGATTATTTTCAATAACCTCACAGCATTGAACTAAGCAGTACTAAAAAGTTCTTTATCGAATTTTATGCTTATGACAGAAGAATCTGCATTTCGAATATAGATCTTCCAAGTAACTGGTTAAGTTAAAACTTTCTTGCATTTTCTTTAGACCGGTATTATTTGCTTCAAAGATTTTGCTTTTATTTGGGTGTTTTATCGGCTTTGTTAGTGAAAACAAGTAATCAAACAGTGTTTAATTTCATTTTAAATTTTAATATATTTAATTTAAAAAAATTAACTACAGTTTTTTTTTTTCTGTGTATATGTGATTTTTTTCCCTTTTATCGTTAACTAATGTGCTTTGCAGATATTTACTTTTATAAGACATATATACGCTGCAAACAGGTTTCCGTGGGTGCGAGAACGTTGCATGTTAGTTACCGTAAAATTATTTGTGTTGTTCTTACTTCTTATTTAAATGTTCTTGTTATTTAAATGTTTTTAATGCGTCGTTATTTTCTTTCTTTCTTAATTGAGATAAATAAAGAAGTATATTTCTTATTTTTAGATAAATTTTGCCGCAGTCGACGTACGTTGATAGCAGAAATATGTTCAAAATAGGTATTTAAATACCAGTAGCTATGCCCAGTAGCTGGCGTATATATCTTGCTATATAATATTGTTTGGTGTTGTTATGTAATGAAAAAAAGATCCCTATTTGCTTTTAAATTACAATTTTAATCCGACAGCTAAATTCTGGCATAGGTTAAAGTGAAATTTATAGTCAGACTCTGTTGAGGTTAGAACATGGCTGTAGAAAACAAATTCCTGATCATTTTCATTTATGAATCCCGCGAACGGGCTGGCTGCGTGGGTGTTTTCGTGGTTTTCCCCATGTGTAACGTGTATACGAGCCAGTTTCCCTTAGAAAGTCCTCCACGAAAGGCATCCCTCCCCTTAGGCAGATAGCCCTAGTGTGCTTTGCCATAATTAAAAACACCAAAAAACACCAACACCATTTTCATTTATGCGTATATCAGTATTATTCGCAGAATCATGGTTATAACGATGTATTAATGTCTGTTTCCTCCCCTTAGTGTTTTTAATCATTACAATCTGCACATGAAAACTACTGTTTAATCGTACATACCTATGGCAAACTGGCGACACCCGAAGCAATTTTAGACAGCCCATGAATACATTTTCCATAAACTTAATTAGCATTACTATGGCAATAATTTTAAGAATTTGAAGGAAATGTTTTAAGATTTTATTGATTTGGAGTGTAATTTACATTAAATTCATTGCTATAAAAAACAAATATGAGCTTACAAATGGATCTGATTAATTTATTCTGTGATATAAATCTTATTAAGAGGTACGAAACTGCAGATTTGATTAACTTAGTTTTCTGTTTGTTTTGTTGTCAAATGATAAACACCCTCAAGTATGAATTTTTACAATAAGAATAATTGTTTTGCTTGAGAGTATATATGTGAACAATATTTAATTTTTATTTTTTTCTCTATGTATAAAAATGAATGTGAACCCTACTGACCAATGAGAATCTGCAATTCGTGATAAAGATAGTGTCTAGTAATTTTCCTCCAATGTTCCATACTTTGTCAAAATTAAAACTCCATGAGGTGTTTTGTAGCTGAAAGTTGTGATAAGAAATAAAGAAGTTTATACTTTTTTAATGCTTGCATACAAATATATACAGGGTGGGCGGAAATTAGCTCCTTGCTGAAAATTCTTATAATTGTTTTAATGCTTAACCAATTTTCATGGAACAAAACGCATTTTATTCCTTACAGAGTAGAAATTGTTATGCATTGCTAAAATTCCACATAAGTATCACCATTATTCACTAGTTTTTGTAAACGGTTGGGGATATCTGTCACAGACTTCTACAGGTATTCCTGCGGTACATTTGCAAGAACTTTGTGAATTCGTTCCTCATTGCATCAAGAATTTGTGGTTTTATGCGATAAAATTCTTCTTTCGCCCCTCCCCCCCCCAAGATGAAGAAGTCGCAGGACATTAGCTCAGGACTCCTTGCAGGCCATTTCCAGAGGGCCATGACGGCCCAACCAACGTCCTGGAAAATGAGTGTTGAGCCGCGCATAGACAAGACATGCGAAATGAGGTAATGCCCCCATCTTGCATAAAGATTAGTTTATTCTAATCGTTCCACGTGTATACAGTACCGTGAACATAGTTTTTAAGCATAGCAAGGTACCATTCTGCATTCACTGTGTCCCGAATAGCGTATGGACCAGCAACTTTCGTTGAAGTCATGCCACAATACACTGGGGCCTTTTTTTTAACAACAATCTTCAGATCTTCCTCTGCCCAATAATAGCAACTGTGCCGATTTAACACCTCCCTCCTACATGGAACACGGCTTCATCTGATCAAAGGATATTACCAAAAAAATTCCGACCAGTCTTCACGCCAAGCAAGCATCATCTTTTCACACTCCAAGCGATGATCACAGTCTTCCACCGGGTTTCTGTAGACGAATATTTAACTCTTTTTTTTTTTTTTTTTTCAGAAAAATTCGAAATGTTTGGCGGGTTAAACCACCTTCGCGCGATGTCTGTCTTTGTGATTTCTGAGGACTTCGAGTCAACACATTTTGAACCACCTGCACATTTTCCTCCGGGAGCCTGCGTTTATTAGTTTCGCATGGCAATTCCTTATGGTCTTAGCATCTACAGAGGCATTACGTCTTTTTACATCTCGCCACCATCTCTGAACTTATACTACAGACTGCCATATTTCGTACCAAGATGCTAGCTGAGTCCACTTAGGCAAGCTTAGACGTTGCAGCATGTGGTTCGCCACTGATACCTGCAGTGATATATAAATAAAATATCATGTAATAAATTTCTGTATTGTGAGGACCAAAATGCTTTCTGCTTCATGAAAATTAGTTAAATATTAAAAACGTTATAAACAATTTTCAATGGTGATTTAATTTTCGCCCACTTTGTATAATTTGACTGCATGCATAAAAACTTAGTAAATTAGAATAGATAGTCATTATTCATTCTTAAGTTTTGCCCCACTTGAAAAGTTTTCATAATTTGTTTCTTTTTAGTTCAAATTATTTAGTGGTTAATTCAACATATTAGAATTATTTGATATAAATATCAGTCTGAAAATGTAATATTTGACTGTCAGGATGTCTGAATTAGAAAGTGTTTGTAACAAACATTTCTTGAGAACATAAACCTTTAGATTTCAGACAATAATTAAATTAAAATTTTTTCTTTCCGTCATTTTTATTACTGTATAACTTTTATTACTGTATAAAACTATATATTATTTAACTATATTAATACATATAGTATACTGGTATATATGTGCTACGGAACATGTAGTATTGAACATTATTATATTGGACAACAAGTCCGCCAACTCCAGATGCAAAAGTCGAGATGTATGCTTCTATTTTTTGAATATAAATTTCATCGCTTTTGAATCCTTATTCTTGAGGGGGAGATGGAGGGGCGTCAGTGAGTGCGGAACACAGAACGGTTTCTTTAAAAGTAATAAATAAATAAAAACCCCAGTTCAGTGTTCACCATCTGCTTGTCTTACGTGAATACACCAGTGAGTTCCCGTTCTCAAAATAAACTTGAATGGACTTTTTTTTTATCCGTACGCGAATTATACTTACCTATATATAGCTGCGTATATGTGCATATAAAAAAGTACGCTTGCGATGCGAACTGCCACAAACAATACATGCATTCCCTCAGCTGTGTTCAGTTTCACGTGACTAAACAATTTTTTTCGTTCCCCCCTTTTCCAATGCACCGTTATCTGTCTTTGAAAAGTTTTTTATTATTATTTTGTAGTTCCCCCCCCCCCCCCCCCTCTACTCAGTCCCGTTCTTCCTTTTTTCCCAACTAGCTCCTCTCCAATGCCTTTCGCTTGACCTAACGGTACTTTTACGTTTGTACCTGTCTCCCATATTTGGCGTGAGATCGCTTATTTTGGGACGTGAAGCCATCTTTCTACTAGAATAATTAATTATAATCTCAACGATAATAAATATTGCTATTGCTGTTGCTAAATGGAATGACATTTCGAAGATATTATCACGCAAGTGTAGCCAGATCATGCGATCTGCTACTAAAATTTATGCGATTTTGGGAATTTTCTGATACTCTATCATTTTTTTGCTGCTTTAAAAATTCTCTTAATATATCGTAAATTGCGTCTATGTTAGTATAAGAATACATCTATTAAAATTAATTTATAATAAAATGTAATAATTTGTTTAGGCATAAATAAAAGTTGGCCATTAGCAGTCTTGCGATCGTAATCCACGTGCACTCAGTTTTCAATGCAGGTCGCTGGTGATTTCTCGTGTTTCATTGATTACTTTGTTTAATATTTTAATGATCTGTGAATAGAATTCCAAAGTATAAGTCAGGTTATAACCGCTGTGTTAGCTAAAATGTGAATTATAAGTAAAGTGAAAGAATTCAGCATCTGCTTTTAAAATGCTTGGTACCTGTGTTTGAGAACTTCCTAGAAAGAATGGAAAAGACAAACCAAAACCTTATTGGAAATTATGGCAAATGTGACCTAAAGCCGCATAAAAGTGATCCAATCATGCACATTACTTCTTAAAAGCATAAACCAAATTTTATATTTGAAAACCGGTAGTTATCTTAAAAGAATATTTACTGCGCATGTTCTGTAATATATTTTACTTCAACCTGTATTTGATTAATTTTAAAATTATTTTTTAGAATAATTGATATCTAAATAAAACAGAAGCAAAATTTTAGACACTAGGGCATACATGTCTGTTCATAATTCAAACAAATATCTAAAAAAATTCTACAAATTCCTACCAAAGGTGTCTACAGAATTCCAAGACATCATTCTTTACACTTTTGTTTATTAATTATGTACAAAAATTCAATATAAAGAACTAAGGATCACCTTTTTTTTAATTTCTTTAACATGTACGTTAGTAACTTTTCTCTTTTCTATGCTAATAATTTCAGCTTAGTTGAACTGTGCTACTTCCCTTCCCGAAAATCAGATAACATAAATATAAAAATATGCATATATAAATTATATATATATATATGATTTCAGAAGTGAATGTCGAAAATGCTTAAAAAAAGGACTAAAATTTTAAACAAAAGACTAAAATTTAAAAAAATTTAAAAAATAATTTAAAAAAAAATTTTTTGTTTTAATTTTTTGTTTAAAAAGTGATTTAAAAACTTTTTTTTTTGAACCCATTGTATTTATTGCATTATTGATAGATGGGCTGGCTTCGTAAAAATGATGGTAATTAAAAGGTAAAAAGTATTACAAAAGGAATGTAAAACAAAGTTTATTCTCCTTAATACTAATAGTGGCGATTTTATTGCTATCAAGGTCACTTTAAAGTGAATTTTCCTCTTTAATTTCTTTAATTCCAGAGTGATAACGTGTCGATTTGTAGTCCGTGCGGCATATTTGAAATTCATTCTTCTAATTGATTATCGTATTGCTAAAAATTAAACAATTGAAATGACTTAAAAACATTTCGAAATAGCAACACAAACTGATTTAACACTCGAAGAAAGTAGCTTTTTATTAGTAATCAGAATCAGATGAAGTGCAATAAACTGAATAGTTAGAATAGAATATTAACGATAGGAATTACACAATTAAAGTAAAGCAAGGAAAACTGAATAAAATAAAAACGCCAGCTTAAACAAAGCAGAATAATTGTAATTAGTACAATAATGTTAATAATCCAAACGGGAGAAAGTACCTTACAACAGATATGAACAAACTAACTGAGAATTAATTTAAAAGAAAAATTAGCAATCTGCTTTTAAGATTTTCTTCAAAATTATATGTATCAAGAAAGTATCAAAAATTGAATTACAGACTGTAACTTACGGAACCCACGGAGACTGAATTTATGATGACGTCAGAGGTCATGTGAGCTCACTAACCTACGACGTCACAAAAATCATCTGAACTTATGACGTCACGGGCTACGTTTTGATACTTTTCGCGTAATCTCTTGCTACTGTAGTTCAAACATTTCTAGCAACATTGTTAACGACAGTCAGAGGCGGATTTTTGGGCCACCCAGTCACAGTCGCAAGAGGGGTACCAAAATTTTAATTAATTAAAAAATGTTGTTAACACACCCTATGTCTTAAAATGAGAGCTCTTAAATTTCAAATGAAGCGGACTTCTCTCTTTGTCATTTCAGTATTGACTAGAACCCAACCTTTTTCTGTCTTTTATTTATCTATTTATTTATTTATTCTGAAAAATCTTATAATTTTTTTTTCCTTGTGTATCTCCAACATAAAATTTACGTTCCTTGTACGAAGTAAAGGCAGTATTGTAATCGCGAAAACTTTCGGATGTCATATTTCATAATCTCCAGTTTGACCGCTTTCGAATGCAAGTTTTTGCGTGATATCTGAACGTAAGGACTCTTTTTCCCAAAACGGATTGCTAAAAGGGTTTAAAATGGATTCAGAAGAGATTTTTTTCCGTGTCGCCTCTACGTTCGTGCGTACGTCTGTATGTATGTATCTCTCATAACTCAAAATCGAGTAGCCTCAGAACGTTGAAATTTTGTTATGTAAGACTGCTATAACATGTAGTTGTGCACCTCCCTTTTTGGTTCAATCGGCTGCACCAATCTTATATAAAAATACATATATATTCCCAATCTATTACCTGGCTGGGTGAGCTTAGTTTTTTTTATTCTTAAATGTTTGTAAATTGTGCATTTTTTGCTTTAAAAGTGATTGAATTATGTGGATTTTATGTTCCGTTTAAAGTTTCTGTGCCTTTAGTTGATCTGTATGCAATAGTTGTAGAATTATGTATTTATTTAACTGTTTGGAGTGACAACAATTTAACAGTTTAAGTGACGAGTTAAGCCTAATAAACCTCCTTTTGTTTGTGTTTGAAACTTAGCAGAATAGTGAATTAAGTCAGTTTCTGCACCTTCCGTGTCTTTTTACGGAATGACACCAAAAGTAAACTTTCAGTTTTGTGCACCGAAACATCTGTTTCTTGCTCGCTGCCCGAATTGCTAGTTTTTGCTCTAATTTTAATTCTAATTTTAACCTTAAAAATTGTTTTAACTGTATTTCTATACCTTTCAATTTTTAATAAGATATAAGATATTTTGATATTTGATAATCTTATTATTTCAATAAGATATTTTGAGGTTTTATGTATTTTTCCCATGCCGCGAGTTGAGAACTGAATTAATTGAATGTGAATTATATATCTAATAAAATAAATTTAAATGAAATTCATCAAAAAATGCATATAATTTAATATTCCGCGCAAGGAAGTCATGTGATGTACACATCAGATTTTTTTTATTATTTCCTTATATGAAGTAAAAGGGGAGTAATGTAATTGCGAAAAATTCACGAAAGTACTATAATCTAGAAAATTCATAATTCAATAGAAGTATCCATTTTGACCGTTCCTGAACGCATTCGGACGGTTTCCCCCCCATGACATCTGTACGTACGAACAGAATAAAGGACCTTTTTGCCAAAACGGACTGCAGGGGTGTTTGTGCTCCGGGGATTTTGAACTTCGATACCCGGAAATTCCGGGGATCGTCGTTCAAAAGGAAGTAGGAATAATAATGAATTATTTATTTTGATCTGGGTAATTTTGTTTGCTTTGAAAGCAGAAAACGCAAGGTCAGTGTGTGTGGTGAAACTTTTCCTTTCTTTCTCCAAAGGCAGTGAGAATGCGTGAAAGGGAGGGAAAACTTCTTTTTGTTCTTTTTCCTTATTGCGAGATATGACTCATTCCCCCGGTTCTCGGACATTCTCTTCTGGATTCTTTTCGGCAAGTAGGCGCGGCAAAAAAGAAAGGGAAAGACTTCGTTCCACCAGATGTGCGATCACGTGACTCTGGGTTCAAATGTCTTATCTCTCCTGGCGTGGCGCCAATAAGTAG